TAAAGTAAATTACATTAGCTTTAAATTAAGATATGTATAAGAGTGTCCGAGTTTCCGCAACACTTTCAAAAGTTAATTGTAAAAGTAAATTTTTTGTGAAAAAGTTATCATTTTGAATCCCCCCCTGTGGGCAGGTAAAGAGTTAGATTTATAAAAAAATACATCATATGATAGGTAAGACATAATGCATCTATAAAAAAAAATGTATTGATTTGGTCATTTTTAAAAAAGTTATAGCAGTTCTAAGAAAAAAAAATTAAAAAATTTTACGTTATTTAAATTTGTAATTTTTTTGGAGTTTTCCCCCATTTATAGGGAACGAGGGAATTTTTAAAAATTTTTGAGGTTAATGTCTTTGACTAAATACGATTTGTCATCTTTTGACGTATCGTTGAAAGAAATCGATTCAGTGAGAACTGAGAAAAAGTGATACAGACACAGAGGAAAAAAACTCATCATAATAAAATTAATATCATTTCAGCTTTGCATCGAGGCTAAAAATTATTGAAAAGTTTTAAAAACCATTCGATTATAACTATCGTACAATTATACAAACTATCAAATAGTTTAAATAACTATTGGAATATATTGGGTAACTATCGAATATTTTTATTTGTCGCATAGTGTTTGATTGACCATTGAATAATTACTATTTCATATTTCCCAACACTAGTGTTTATCACAGAATTGTAAACAAATCCGATAGCACAAATTATTTCGATAGCGTACTAGTTGGTGATAAAATAATATTTATGTCTTGTCAATTATAATAGTAATACTTTTCAATTCTCCGAACCATAAAATGTTTTCATTTTGTATAATCATTGAATGTCACGTACGGTTTACTATTAAGTTAAGCTTTCAACTAATAAGTAATGAATAACTAAAAAGTAACATAAGCAATAAGTATTTATAGTATTAATGAAGCCATCAAACTATATTGAACATTTTCATAGTATAGACAATTTTAAGTCACCCAATAATTTTCAAAATAGAGTTAGGAATCCAACCTAATTATCTTAAGAACTCAAAATTTAAATTGTTCATTTTTTTAATTATATATAAACACGTAAGATAAGAAAAATTATTTATGTTTAAATAAATCATATAACACTAAATTATATTTGCTTGAAAGATGGAATACATTTTATTTATGAGAATAAAGACATTTTTTTAATAAAATGTCCGTAAACAAATTTATTTAATATATGATAATTATGAATAAAATTCTTGCATGACATTTTGAAAACTTACTAAAAAAAAATGTTCTCACTTAGTTATTAAGTGTCATTAATTTCCTAACAATGAAATATTTCAAATTATTTTTGAGTAGGCATATTACATAATAGTTGTCACTTAAAACGCCTATATTTTTTTTAATATTGGATAATATCTAACCGTCATGTATGAATTGTTGTCTGCTTGTTTTAAACTAATTATTATAAAATCTTTGAAGTTTCATATTGCACGTTTTTTTATGAATGCGCTCATGACAAAACTTTTGTTTAATGAATAACTATTTTTAATATTGTCGATCTAATATAACGTTGAAATTTCTGTGGAACCGAACAATAGATCTTATTCATACATTTTGTTATCTTTTTGTTAACCGCGTATTTTAATGAACAACAGTGTTGCCCTATTTCATCTTGCAATCCACCGTTATTGAAGAGTGGTTAAGGGGAACATAAAAATGACAATAGTAAGGATTAAAACAAAAGAATTTTATATCATGTTGAAACATTAGCGTCGTATTAGAGTTGTAATAATTTATCATTTCGAATCTTCAAGAAACAATCTTTGAGACATGACACAACGTTGAAATTTAATGTAATATTACATTAAGGGTTGTGCATACATTTTTCAATCCTCGAGTTGTTCACTTTAAATGATCAGCTATTTTAATAGCTGAATACTTTTCACTTTATCTTAAAAACCTGTTTGTATAATAGAATACTGACTTAATCGAATGAAAGTCACACGAATCCTTTCATTTTTTTTAACAGCAAAGATCAATTGTGAGGTGTTTGATTTTTTCGTACACGAGAGGTCATGTAGTAATCAACAAGTGTCGACGATTGGGATGTAAACCAACTAAACCGTAACACGTCAGAACAACAATTCAATTACTAGAAGTCAAGTACGTTTGTGATCTCACGGGCCAGCATCTCACAGCTACCGGACCCCGACAAATGTGTTAATTAATCATTCTGGAGAGTTTGGCAACAAACGTAGGTACGGACAAACAATAAAAAAGTAAACCGGTAGCTACGAAGTTCCTCTGCAGTAAAACGCGAATTGAAATCCGACTAGGAACGACCCCGCGCCAAGAACGTTTGTAACATGATTATGCACCCGACGCTTGACGGAATGATTTATAGACATTGGCGGTTGAATAATAGAGTGACTCCCTTCTCTGGTCAAAAGGAAAATTTGATTCTTCTTGAAGCTGCGAAACGAGATGGCCACATGCCACTGGGATAATCTAATAATGCTTTTTTAACCTTGCTGACAACATTGGTTCACCAATAGCCATTAATCTTCCAGCGGGATTTTTTTTATTTTATTCCATGTCGGTACGCGGCAGCTGTGAAATGTCTTAATTTCGCAAATATGTCAACATCGCTGTTGACGAAATTTAAAAAAACTAAAAACGAAATTAATTTTAATTTCAAATATTCGTGATTTCCATAATATTTTAGCAAAAGTGATCGGTTTTTATCAATTTCCCTATTTTTGTGACATTATAATAACGCATCATTATATAGTAAATTATATGTACTATCATTTAACTGTATTGTGTATAAACTGTATTTATACACAAAAAAAATTTAATTTGAAACTTGCCCTGAATTAAAAAAAAGAAAAAAAAACTTGTTGAAATATAAAATAGCAATTTCTTTGGATTTCAAAGAGCTATTAAATTAAAATAATTTTTTTTTTTTTTTTGAATATATTATTTACCGTTAAATAAACAAAATTGACAAACTATAAGTTTGACCATGATCTACATTTAATTATAAAAAAAATTAGCATCACTTCGCTCGTTATTTTTTAAGTAAAATTTGTAAGCTAAATGCTCATCATTGCTATTACCGCGTTTCCCAATAACCTATTGTAGATGTTCGGTCATCTGAAAATGTCACCTACTATTTCTGTGAATTGATTAATCGTTGATAAGATTGTGTAATACTTAAAGATAGGACGAGAGAACAGTAGCTAAAGGTGAGTACGCCTTTTTTATGACATATTGCAGGCGACCATTATCGCACGTAGTTGATCGGTTGCAAAACGACAGTGACGGGCTACCAATGTTACCAGACAACAATAATATGCTACTGTCCTGTGGACATTTGTCATTATCATTATGGACTTATGTATTGTTCACGTTTCGCAGTGAACCGGTTAAGCAACCACGGTGCATGTCTTTTCTCTCACGGGGAGGTTTAGTAGAATGTGAAGGAGGTGCAAGTAAATGTATCATACCACATTTGCTACTCAATAGGGTGTCACATTGTCCATTCCCGGATGAGAGGATGAGTTCAACATAGTCAGGATGTTTATTAATGAAGTCCAGAATAACTTGATAGTTCTATACGTTTCAAATACTTTCAATAAACGAATGTAATCGCAAAAACGCATCATCTGAATGTGGAAAATATGTTTTTGCTAGTATAAGGTTGTTGCGTGTTGAACAATAAATAAGAAAACCTTATAATTTAACAACTTTTTCAGTACATGAATACTTAAATAAATATACATTTTTATGACAAATAAAATGACTTATTTCAAAAACATTAAAATGTAAAAATTCTTATAAATTCAATTCAATTCAACATGTTTATATACAGGGCAATCCTTTTAATAATTGCCATTCCATTTTTCTTAAAATAATGATTATGTTTAGAAAACTGATTTTAGTATTTTTAATTTCATATACAAGTATTTTTCGATTTATCAGTTATTAATTCATCCCTTTAACTATATAATGGTGTTAACATTATAATTTTAAAATGCATCGTGTATATTTAATTAGTTTATAAAATAAAAAAATTATATAATTAAGAAAATTACTACTGGTCAATAACTACAATTTCGGAAGTTATTATCATTTTAAAGTATAGACTGGAGGAGAAGCGCAGGTATGTAAATATTTAACACTAAAAATTTCTCTGCTGCACCCTTCTTCATTTATTATTCAATTATTAGTCCAAAAGTTATTACTGACCAGTCATTTTCTTAATTGAATCATTTTTTACTTTATAAGCTAGTTAAATAATATTTAGCGAAAAGTTGTTTGTATGCAGCTTTAATTATTATCAACACAACTAGCTTATTGGACCAAATTCAGTTATATTTTTAAGTTTAGAATGTTTCAAAAAAGTTTCAACATTTTAAGGATTTTTAACACGCAAAATATAAGAACTTTTAATATTTAAATTAAAAAAAATCTCAGTAACCTATTATTTTAATTTATAATTTTGTAATATTAAACACAGATATAATTAAGCAAATTATTCTTAAAATCGATAAATTAAAAATATATTTTGATAATATGTTATTTAAAAAAATTATGTTAAAATAATTAGTATATTACTTAAGAATTTATTATAATAATTCCAAAAATAAAAAAAATGTTTAAATGAACTAACATTATTGGATTCTTTAAAAAAAATTATTACACGATGAAATTTTATGCCTGTTCGATTTTGGATTACTGTGCAACACATTTTAATTGTTAAATTAAAACCCAATTTATAAAAACGTAATGAGCAGAAAAATGGTGAAATGTATAATTTTTGATAGTATCGATTTTAATTGTATTATAATATTCTTAAAATGCAGTCGTATCGATAATTCAGTTGTTAATATATTCTGTTTTAAATCAAATTTTTAAACTATTTTACATAAATGAAACATTCTATTGACTGGGGAGTAATGACTATAGTTCTGTCGTTATGAATGAGAATAAAACAAAAGACTAAATTGACATGAAAATTAGGAATATTATGTATTCAATATAATAATGTTATAAAATACTTAAATTCTAGAGTCTTATTTTTTTGATTTGATATAAATTTTAGTTGTTATATTTAAACCGTTCCAAGTGTGAAGTATAAAGTGACTTTTAAAACTAACACTTTAAATCAAGGCAGAACATAAGGAGTTTAATTAAGGTAGTAACCCATGATTAAGATATGGTTCTCATAGTGTAGATAACAAAGTTGTAATTTGCATATTTTACCCATTCAATTATGTTCGAACTTTGTTGACTACTCATGTGCTATTACAACGGCGACGACACAATAATATTCTGTATTATTCCTTCACACCATTCGTTAGAAAGGGTTGCTTTTTCTAATCCCTTATCCTAACATTCATCTGTCTTGGGTTGTTTTCAACACATGGCCGTGCAACTAAGCTAAGATTTATGTGAATTATTGTATGGTATTGTATCACAAGAGCTTTTCGCAACATATCTGTCTATTATTGTTCAAATAATGTACATGAACCAGTTATTTTAAAATAAATAATAATTTACTTTAAAATAAATAAAATAATAATAGTAATCCGCAACATTTTAAATAAATTTATTGGTTCAATATAATAATAATAATAATAACTTCAAAAAAATATATTGTGCTATATTGTTAGTATCAAATAATTAACTTGATTGGTTTTTTTAGTAAAATTTTTTGAGTAATAAAGGGTTTGTTATATTTTATTCTGCATTCTATGGTGACCACTGTTCGATATCAAATAACGATTGAATACGATTTTTTAGTAACGTAAAAAACCTATTAAATTTGTCCAGATTTCCGGGTATGAAATTAATAACTATTGTACTAATGTCAGATTTTATATCTACTATAACATTAATATTAACAAACTTTTGTAACACTTTTTGTTGTGTTTCTATGATTTTCTTTATAGTTTCTTGATCGGTTAAAGTCAAGTACGCCAAATTTAATATAACATACCAATATTTTGCTACTTCGTTTAGTTCGTTTAAAATAATACCAAAGTAAGGTTTAATGGTAGGCCAATATTGTATAACAACGTATCCCTTATTTAATAAATCACTTAATTTAATGTTTGGTACTGTAAACAACTCAATTTCTTTTTGTTCTGCCACTGGTTTTAACAAATAGGAAAAACCTTTTGAAAAAATTTGATTTATTTCATCCCAGTCATGACCGTCTGCTATAATTCTCATTAACTCAACCGTTTCATTAACTTGCTCAATCGTTAAAATATTAGATCCATCTCTATTCGATAAATTCATTTTAAATTTCCCACGATTCTCTTCGGGTTTTTCTAACCAATTAATAGCATCTACAAGCAATTTCCGTTCTGCTTCGTAAAACATATCAATTTTATTTTTCAACCGTTTTAACCCGATTAACCGTTTTTGCATATCATTTAAATAGTCTTCACGTGGTAAGAGTGAGTCAATTTTCTGAAGCTGTTCACTCAGTTTTTTCAATTTTTCTTTAGTTGACATATCCGTATAATCAATAACGTTCTCCTCGAGTTCGGGCTCCATTTTTATTTCAGCGTCTTGTGATGGGTCAGTTGCATTCCGCCGTATCATTATTTTAATAATGATAATAAATATACCTATAAAAATAACTATCTTTATTAATTCACCAATTAATTCCAACATGTTTAAAATACAGATAACAGTTTGAATACAGTAAAACTTGAAATTTAATTTGCTAAAATTTAAATGTTTTGTCAAATTTTTTTTCAGTTTCTATGGATAATTTAACATAAATTCACAGTATATTTCACATAATAATCGATTGATAGTTAAAAAAAAATTCAGTACGATTTGACTTTCTAACTTTTCAGTAATTACTTTTTTATAGTATGTGACAAAAATGGATTTATAGTGACTAGACCTTTAGATTTAATATTTTTAAAAAGATAACATAATCTGAACTATCAAATACACTTTTTAGGGTGGTATACAGGTTTTTTCAATGTGACTAATACCAAAAAAACATTTAATGACCAATCTTTGGCGACTAATTGTCTAAAATAGTAGTTTTTGCTCCTCTCCGTGTGGATGACGACTACCGAATACTTTATTCGTTGTTTAATAAATTAAAATTTAACATTTATTGAAAAGATTTTTCTCAGATATATGTAAACATTTTTTTTTTTTTTGACAAATGCTGACAAAAGAATAATGATGGGGATACCTATAGATTAATCGGGTGAATTTCTATTCCATAGTAGTAGCTAAAACATTTTTTATCAGTTACTTCCAACTAAATTGGATTTTCAATCTTTTCGCGGAAGCCGCTTAACGATAACCTTATCGATAACTAGTAGTTGATCGATTACCGTCGAACGTCAACGCCAACGATTGAGCTGTCCGGACAGTCACGAACCGTGAAATTCTGGCCGCCTCTAACTGTTTACAACAATAACTGTTTATTTTTTTAAAAGGGTCCGAGGAAAAAAAACAAAAATTTGCGGAAGATCGTATTACGCGATACGTTTTTTGGACAGCTAAATATATATTGAAAAAATTGTTACAACAATAAAAAACGTCTATCGAATTTTCTCACCCTCTACCGGAAAGTGTTTTTCACACATTGAAAAAAAAAGACACGCGCCATGTGCAGACACCAGATATCCTAAGGATAATAGGTCTCCCTCCACGCACTAATCACTCGGACACAATAATATAAGCGGATTTTTTCGCTATTTTCACCCAAAAAATACAAGGGTATGAAAGTTTATTATTATTGCTATACGATTTTTTTATACATACTACGCTTAGGGACAGAATAACTCGATTATTATGTTATTGGAGACCGTCGCTCCCTTCTTTTGTGTGCAGTTTTTTACTCCATGAAAATATTTTGATATCCTGAAATACGATAATGATTGTCGAGTGAATCAATCAATCAATTTCGGTGATAATTTGATCGATTGACCCCTCTGTCAATTACCTTTTGGTCTTATAGACATAGAAACTGAAAATTTTCTAGAAAATTTACGTTTTATTTAAAAAAAAACTCATTAATCAATCAAATCATAATAAATATGTGAAACTTATACAAAAACCATAATCGTAAGTCATCAAGTTTTTAAAAGCTTGCTTAAACTTCATAAAAGTAAACATTAAACTTTAAAAACCTTTTAAGAGCTTACGTTACATTAATTAATATTACTACTTAAATAAATCCGAAAAAATATATATATTTTACGATAGTTCAATGCAAAAATCTTGGCTCTTTAAAAGCTTTTCATTTTACTAAAATAATGAGTACAAAAAATAATCAAAATTAAAAATTTAATATTTTTATTCGTCTATGAAGTACATTTAATGGACCGACACATAAGTTTCTTTGTGTCGTGTCACGTATTAAAGAAACATAAAATTGTTTCAGATGTAACTATAATTTAGATAGTAATACTTGAATTAATTTTAGTGATGTGTTATAAAAGAGTGTTTAAGTATAGCTTGCTTGTAAATTACTAATGTGACAACATAAACTATGAAAAACTAATTTTCATTTTACAAGAGCGTGAATATAAAAAATGTATGACCATTAAAATGTGAAATAAAAAACTCAGTTAATTACCTTTGTCGATTGATATCACAAATGTTTGGTACGTAAAAAGTTTTTCTAAATGGTTTATTTCACTCGTAATTACAATGCACGACTACCGTTAGTTAGTGACAAACAAGGCGCTGGTCATAAAAATCATATACACGCGATATGACACCAAGTGGTAATTAATTTGCAATGAGTTTAATGCGGCGAGCTCAATACGGTAAATTTCTTATCGTAAGGAGTCAAAAAAGATGGCTGGCAATAAAGACAAGAGACAACAGAAGTACTGATTCGATTATTCCCTGAGGACTCATGGCCGACAGTGTTTTAATTTATTCCACCGTGGAAAAATTTACGACATTCGTCATTTTTTCTAACCGACTACTACTAGTGGGGATATTGTTTTTATTGCTCCCGCCAATTCCAAAATAATGCTACTTTCCAGATGAAGAAGAAAATAGGTGGAGTGTAATTTTTATTTTTTTACGACCATTTTATACTAACTTGTACACTGCGTTTGTGCCTTTACATTACTCGAGTGTCGCTGGCTTCGTCATGCCCCAATCGTAAACAAAATAGAATATAAAATATGAATTACATTGTTATTGTTATAATAATAAATGGGCCCCAGACGGCGAATGGGAGTGACGGATTGAGGAATATTAACTTACGGGCAGACGATATACTTTTAAAAAACGGCACCGTATTTCGTTTATTTTTTTATTTTTGTACATTTTATGCTCTCCCATAAAATTAGGCTTTTATATTTTACTTGGCAATTTACTATCTGGGTTGACGTTTAAGATTTCGTTATAATGTCAATAAAACAAAATCATATTTTTGTCTTTTACCAAACCATCACAACCCTAGTAACTTGATTTATCTACCCGCAACTTACTACCGTAACAATAGTAATTGGTCATTTAAAATACCATTTTTAACACACGGGGCGTTTAATTGGTTAAAAAAACTTACTATTTGATTCATCAGTTGGACTATCAACCAAACATATATCAATATGTTAATGTATTAAAAATTTAATGCCAAATAAATATTGTTGAAGAAAATAATGTTTCTCGATGGATTGCACATCGTATCTTATAAAAATCAACGAAACTGTCCAACAAGAAAAAAACAACTTTCGAATAAAGATTTAACCACTTCATATTGATACTCCTTTTGGATTAAATATTTTTTTAGCGGATAAAAAACTTTCTTCGAATTGACCGAAGGACTATGGTATGTCAACCCCAAGAGACTAAACACTACACAAACGAGCGGTGACGTTTTGTCGTTGAATGATATTCTAGCAGATTGAACTTTCGACATAATTTGTCTTAATAACACACTGCGGTGTCTAAAAAATGACGGACATTGCCGAAAACATTAATAATAAAAAATGTAACCAAACAAAATAACATTTCCTTGCCGTTTTTCACGATTTAATGCTACAGTTGGCCCTTCGTCACTAGGGTTACATTGATATTAATGACATCTAACCATCGGCCCCGGTATGAACCATAAGCCCCGCAAGGCATACAATTAAAAATAGTTTTCTTTTTGCGTATTTTATTTACTTATTATTTTCCCATTATTTTGAAAAATAAATTTATTCATAATAATTATATATAGTTGTCATGTTAAACAGACACATAACATAACATTTATATAATAAACATATGCTAAGGGAAGATTTGGAAGGATGTCAAATGAAGTAAAATTAAATTATAAAATAATATTGCAATTATGATAGTTAGGTCATTAGAAAATGGTCTAATTAAGAAAATTACTGGTCGACAAAAACCTTTGGAACAGTATTTTAGATGTTGTTTACAATTTAAAGTATTGACTCGTGATGAGGAGTGGATGCTGCTATTTTGATCACTAGTTATTTCCCAGTCATACTTTTCCTCTGTCGCCTAGGTATGAAAATAAGAATAACTTCCAAAGTACTAGTCCTTAATTAGACTATTTTCTATTTTATAAGCTAGTTCAATATGCATGTTACTATTTACAGAAATAAAGTTGACACTCCTATTAATTATCTTATAATTGATAAATAAAAATACACGAGTAACTAACAAAATTCAAAAATAAAAATAAAAAATGTTCAAAAATTTAATATTTTAAGAGATATTGAGCGACTAGCGTTAAAATAATCACCCTGTATAAATGTTATTTAAACTTATATAATATATTAATATGCCTTAAATTATAGAATGGAAAATATATTTGTATTCATGTGTTGATTTATAGTTGAAATACTGTGTTGGTGTTTGACATTTGCACTAAAGAACTTATTGTTTTAAATGTTTACACTCTGATATGTATATACATCCTTGTGTCGATACACAGTATATTTTTTGATTCTTTATTAATATTATATTTAAATCTCAAAAAAAATAGTGGTTTCTGTTGGTTTTTTTTTTACGGATACACGTGTAGATTTTTCTTCTCGGTTATATGCGGTGATAAAACCGTCAGTCTCAGATTAAAAAACGATTAAGAATACTACAGCTGGACAAGGAGGAGGAGAAAATACTGGTTTTCTTTTTAAGCATAAAATAAATTGAAGACACGACTCGTGTACATACGGCCCGGGGCCACTTCACCCTGTCCCCTTGGCTCTCTGTTAACCATCTCCATGTTGTTATTTTTTTCTAAACACCAGTAGCTGCTAGCCAATATGTTTTACGACCGACATTAAAATGTAAAAAAAAAAACCAAATGCTCAAAGATAGCCGAGATACAGGTTCATCGTGGTTATATTTATTATTATATTCTGAGTTAATCATGACCACCACTGGTGAACGTTACCACAAGATCAGTAAATGAATACACAATGATTTGATACAGAAAATTTTTAGCACCTCACACCACCGTCAGCCTAACTATTCAACAGTTACGGAGAACGAGATTATACCTCATGTACGTTTCAAACAGGTTTATATTGCCATTTAACTGCGAATGATGAACGAGCACCGTCAACATAACAGACACTTCATTAAAACATATTATATTATCTGATGGTAGGACAAACATTTTTAAACATCGAATAAAATTTTAAATGTAAAACTGTAAAATGGCAACATTTTTTTTTTCGTTATTTTTACATTTATTGTTTCAAAAAATATTTCACATGAATATTCTTTATAAAAGATAATATATATAAATTCATAAGATGATATTTTCTTTTAAAAATTTGATTTTAACTTTTTAATATTCTGTTAACATTACAATTTTTACGGTCACTGTTAATACAAATTAATTAAAATTACTTTAATTTAAAAATGTCAGTTAATGTTTTCAGATTCATTCTTTTCGGTCAGATAAGCGACTAACGACCAGTATTAAAGTACTTTAAGACAACTCCATAAATTAATTTTTTCAGAAAATTAGCTGCTGGTTGTAAAGATCTATTTATTTTTGTATATATTACGTTGTTAAGTAAATAAATACTAAGTTTAAACAATATATAATATTTAATCTGACGTTAAATAAATTATTGGCATACAATGGAGAATTTCCCAGTGAAGGACAAAGATTTTTATCTAAACTCTGGCAAATCGTACTCCGATAAAGTAATTATATAAAAATATTTATAACCTCTCATGACACAATTATGAATTAACGAAATTACGTTTTAGAAAGGCCATCTAAGTAGAAGGGCTGAGTTCCGAAGATATTTGGACAAGACTGGCGTATTAAACAAACTAACCGAACTCATGATTGATATCTATGAAAATCCTGATTTGAATTTTCCTATAACAGAGTACTGTACCTACTGGTTAAATAACTTCTTACAAATACATTAGGATATTTTTTATAGATATATTCGGAAAGGGCTACTTGATGTAAATCCAGACGAGGAAGAAATAAAAAAACTCCGTCCTTCTTTAGAAGAAGCCAAGGCTTTTAAGGAATTCCTTGCTAAAGAGAACCGAGCTTTGAAAACTACTTTTAGACAAAAAGGTTATCCACTTCCCCCATTCGCAGATATTAAACAAGACAAAATAGACTATAATTTAATATTAAATACTGACAAATTTATTAAGAATCCTAATAACTAAAAATAAAGATATATGACGTAATATTTACCAATTTAGAATAACAATGTTAATAAAATTTCAATTTGAGCAAATTCAAAGGTAAATGAATATTCATATGATAAATAATATTAAAAATACTTGTTCCATTTTGTAGGGTATTCAGCAAGTAAAGAAAAAGGTTTTTATTGTTCTCATTTATTCTAACGATTGACCTGTTTCCTTACATTTTGAACATCTTTATACAGGGTGTTCAGTAAATAAGGAAACATCATTCTCTATATTCTATATAGAATGATCCGTTTATAATAACCACTTAATTATTTGCCGAAGTAAAATAATTTTGAAACTTTTTTTCTGATACTTTTAATTTCATATTAATCTTAAATTATTAACTGCATAATACTTTATAAGTTCATTCTTCATGACTTGTAAACGTGTGAACTTTATTTTTTTTTAATGGAAACAATTAGTTTTAATATTTTTATTTCATGGAGTAAGAATTTTTTATTTAACTTAATTTGTTTATTAGTTATAACGCTAAAGCTTTAATTTTTGGAGTAAATATACACGTGTTATATACCTTAAATTAAAAATGTAAGTAGCTAATAGCTTTTTTACGACATTACTTTTCACAAATACGCAGCAATTACTACCAATTACGTCAATATAGACAAAGTGTTGAACTGAAGGTTTAAAAATAAACACACTTTGTTTTCACAAAAAAAAAAAGCATTTTTATTTCTTGTCAATAAAATAACACTCCGTACCTATGAATAGACCGTCATAACAATCTTACAAGGTGTAAGATATGAAAAAGTATTAAATAGTTCATAATTCGAAAGAAATACGTAACTAAAAAAAAATTTTATATTATTTTTATTCTGTAAGTAGTTCATGTATCACATTGTATAAATATGATATGTTATGTAGGTTATAAAATCATTGTTGCAAAATTAGTAACAATAAGAAAAAGTAATTTTTACCCAATTTAAACATTCGGCTGTTACTTATAAAGAGATCACTAGATTATCATTTAAGATCATGTAGATAATTTTCCCTGAATCGTAGCGCCTAAATCTTGAATCACTCCAAGTGTAATTTTTTCTTATGAAAATCCTGTTTGTTCAAATGAATTCCAATAAAAAGTTTTCGTTTTAAAAATAAAGGTACCTAATAAATTTCAGCTACTGGTGTATATTTAATTATAGAATGATTTTATTCACTGATATAGAAATAGGATCCAACTATTATCATAAGAATTACGATTGTTCAGAAATACTTGTACGACCCCACTGGTCCCTGGTTTAACGTCGTTCACTTCAACGTGTCGTTTTTTATTTAACTTGAAAAATAAAAACCGTTTTAATAGGTAATTGTTTTATATACTCGTACGCGTACAAATTACAATACACCGAGTGGCTGCTCTGTAATAAATTACCGGAGGCCACTTGTCCCCGGACCAATATTTAATATTGATAATAGTAGTACACACACTCGGAGATGATTGTGATTTGGGTCGTCGAATAGAGCTGACAGAGTGTGTATCAGTATATACATATATTATTATTTTTATCGCCCCAGCTTGGTCGTAAACATAATGAAATACGGTCCATATCGTGCACGAAGAGTAGAAGGCTAAGAGGCCAGACGCCGTTGTTAAAATGTAAACAACGACTCCTTTTTTCTCGTTCCCTCTCTCCAATTCCCAATTTTATCCTTTTTTACGTTTTGTTTCTTTTACAACCCACAGCTAGTGTTTTGGTTAGACAGCTAGGCGTCCTAATCGTAAACGTCACACTCGAAAACGCGTGTACAGGGCAAACGAGAGGCAAATGAGTGAAGACATACGTGTACACACGTGCTGAGATCGTATATTTAGTTTATTCGTTTTATAACTGAAAATAATAAGTAACAACTCATATCTGAAAAGTGAAATACCATTGAGATAACTACATGTCGATCAAATATTGGTGTATTCATATTAATGCAACGACGAGATTTTTCTAGAAAACCTGCTGTCAGTTTAACGAATTACACTCAAATACATACATATTTTTAATACACCCAAACAATAGATTAGAACATTGTTTATTATTTACACGCGTTTCACTGTCAAATTTTATGCGACAAGCAACACGAACAACTTAATCATTATGCGTTTGCGTTGAAATGTCACGAATTAACTCAAACATAAAATTCACTAGGCGTTTTCTAAAATAATCATAATATTAATAGTTTACAGTATCATAAGCTTAGTGACTAGTAGTTGTTGTCGGATAAAGTCAATTTTGGATATTACCTTAATTGGCACCATCGTTAAAACATACACGTTATAATTTGTATCTTGGGATACGTTAATAGGTTTCCTTCCAATGAACTTAAATCATTTCAGTAAAATAAATAATCAGAGGAGCTGCATAAAACAATCTTACAGTGTATAATTAATATCTAAAAGAAATCAAGATGAATTAATTTATGCACCATTACGAAAATTTAAAAACTAGTATTATCATATTATTATACTTGCTCATGTCAAAACTTAAATTACTTTATACGCTTTACTTCGTGTAGTGTAATTTTGAAAAGCGTTTTCGTTTTTAATCGTAATTAATTAAAGTATTGTAATGTTTCTTGCATACAGTTTTACATCGTTGTATAATCATCGGAGCACTCCACAACAACCAAACTACTTCAAAACGCAATATGAATTTTATTTTCGACATTATTAACTTATTCATAAATATATTTCAAAAATACTTTTCTATATAACGCTACGCTAAACTGTACATAATGTTTTTCGTTTCATTAAACACACAATTGGCTTCACATAATCTTACCTCTTCAACAATGCGTAACCTATAGATACGCTAAGTGCAAGATATTATGTATCTAATTTTAATTTTAATATTTTTTACTAGAGTGCATGAAAAATTTTCATTTTATATAAAAATAAAGCGGACTGCCCGTTTTATGAGTTTATTTAGAATATTAAGACAAAAGATATTAGGTACTGAGTAAAATAATTATAGAATAAATTTAAACAAGCGTCGAATGGATGAATAATTACAGCATAAACATGTATAATACAATAAAAATAATAATAATAAGAGAAAACGTTGTAAATACATTATAATAATTATATGTGTACATAAAGTATAAAATTAAGTTACAATTGTATTATTATTATTTATTATATGGTTATACTAAATGACAATACTAATTATCTGACAATAAATATGAGACAATACTTAATACTACTCACCTAACATCGTTTATTTCCCATCCAAATTGAATTCAGTGAAACCAACAAAACTAGATCTAGTACCAAAAATAAAAAATAAATTGTGGACAAGCAATTTTTTTCATTCATTATTATAAATCAAAAAATTTAATATGCTAATATAACACAGCTTTATTTTTAGTCTTAGTACAATGTGATTATGGTTAAAGGGTATTTTTCACTCTGCCGAAAAATTGGAAAATTAAATACATGATGTTGTCATTAGGGTAGCCATTTATTATATTTTATCATATCGATATTGCGAGTTATTAAATTATTAATTTTTTTAATATAAATTTATAAAATAGAAAAGGCTTTACGAATTTAAAACATTATTTATAATGTAATGTAAACGAATAATATTTTAAGGCTTGTAATATATTACAAATTTATAAGTGTATTATATTTTAACACTCTATGTAGCATATTCTGATTTAAAGTTTAATAATGTGAAAGAGAATTTTTTTTTATTTCTTGTTTTTCAAAGTTTTAAAAAGCAAATTGTCTTATTAATGCATCGCATAACCATTTAAAAAATATTACGCATGTTTCATGCGTAATATGTGGATAGCATATTTGATTTTATTATATTACCCACAGCTGTTCATATTTTAATATGCAATGGTTTCATTGTATATTTTAATCACATTTTTGTAAGTACAATAATTTAGAGTTATTAGAAGAAAAAAAACGTTTTACTTTATTTGTTAAACAAATAAACAAACAGTTGTAAATTTAAAAATAGTTGTAGTTTTGTATTTATAGAAAATACATTTCGTGTTAATTAAAAAAACGACTATTTAAATGGTTAGTCTTTGAACACTAATATTCATATTTGAAACAAACTTAACCAAAATCTGCGCAAGAAGTCATCAATTTAATTACCACTAATACAGGTAAAATGAATTATTATAGTAGTATATGTATTATTTTATTAAATATAACAATTTCCAATGCAAAAATTGTTCATAAGATCAATGAACTTTTTACAAACATTGAAAATCAATCTTTTATAACCATTGACGATTTAAATAAACTCATGGGAGAATATCCAGATTTCATTCCGTTAACTTTACAAGAGAGTAAATACTACACTGGTTTTGATGCATCTCTTTGTCCTGTACCTTATGATGAAAACACAGAGTTAGATGATCCTGAAGTTGTGAAATTAGAATTTTTCAACCCAAGAGAATGTGAAAAACCGTGGACGTGGACGCAACAGAATCAAATTATCGTACCTGTTCCAAAAAATGGCACCATTAACAAAAACTTAGGAGAACTAATTTGTCAAAATAACAATTTAGAAATTATTCAGAGTTATACTTATTTCCTAAATACTATAGAAAGTGTTGGAATAACTTTAGTTGATAGATTTTGTTTGTTTTTAGTTGAATTTATTGATAGAATCGACAATTTCACTAAAAATACAGTATTTATTTCTAATTCAGAAGAACGTGTAGAACATAAAAGAATAAATTTAAGTCTATCGTGCTTTAAAAAAATGTTAAAATGTATTTATGTCACATTTAAGCAATATTTCATTTCTACATTACCCCTAGACTGCATTTTGAATACTCTTAAAATATTTTCTCCTGATGATGATTTAGAGAATACATCAATTACAATAGAAAATCTAGATAAATACAGAGCATATTTAGTAGAATGCAGAAAAATAACAAAATCAAAAAAAAATTACGCTATTCTTCAAAATGATAACGATTGGAAGTGGGATATTGATTCAATTATTAAACCAAACGATCATGACTTAATAAAATTACACAATGAAAATGCTCGAATGGGTGGTAATCTTTTTTATGCAAATTCTACAAATTAATCAATAAAAATTATTGTTATAAAATTATTTTTTATGAAAACTATATTAAATGTTACATTGAAATCTTGTATTTTGTCATTACATAAATTAAGATTAATTTTTTATTTCATGTTTAAATTTTACTATTGTTAAATGATATCATAATTAAGAAATTAATTTTTATTAAAATGAAAAAAAAAGTAAACTTCAAAAGCTTTTGGCCAATTTTAAACAATAAAAATGTTTATAATTGATTTAATGGAGATATAATAAGAGTAGCTTAATAAGATAATTATCAAATGAATTTATTGTTTATCATTTTATAAATGTAAAATATATGTATATGAACTCAATGATTATGATATAAGTTGACAGTCCTTATGTTCCACTGATTTGGATTCAACATTCAAATAGCCTCAAAACTTTTGCGCTATTTCCAAAAATAATCTTTAATATATAAAAGTATTCATCTAGGCATAAAGTTATAAATGAAAAATCTCTTAATGAAAATAACATCAAGATTTACCGTAAAATTTTTTTTTACAGTGAAGTATTACGACTTTTGTGAAAATATTTACTAAACGATGAATTATTTATCTTTGACCAATTATTTATTATAAAATAAATTTTTTTTTTTTTATTTTGTTTAGTATTATTGATTTTTTTAATTTATATGTAATTAAATATTTTTAGGTCCATTCCTTTCTTTTAAGTGTACCAAATTAATTTTTTTTAAAGGTAACTAATACATTTTAATAGATTAAATGTTAAAAATTAATCTATTAAAAAAAAAATGACCTTTATGAATAATAATGAAACGCTCATTACAAGACATTGTGCATCCGATTGCAATTTTTTACTATTGTCAATAAAAATAGTGGCATTATGTATTAACTGTTTAAATATGCATTACGCAATATCTTTAAAAATAAAATAATATTATTTTTCTTTTTTGAAGTTCATAGTATCCTATATTCTATAATTTTCAAACAATAAAACAATTTGGTCTTATGTCTTCTCTATCTTTTTTAATATATTATTAACTTGAGTTTTTTAAAGGGAACATAGATGCTTAAAAATAGGAAAATGACTGGTTAATAAAAATTTTTGAATGTGTATTTTAAATGTATCTTAGCATTTTTATAATAGAGTAAATCGGGCCTGCTTATTTTTATATCTGGACATTTATGAACAGCTCTAGTATTTAAGTGTATTAACTTCTGAAAAGAAAACATTATAATGTTTTAAACTTTTAAATATATTTTGTGAAGCTATACTTATATTTGACCATACTGTATTATTATTTTTTTATTCAATAATTATTTTATGTGGAAGTATATTTTCTATCATACTTTAAGATCAATTGATAATATGAGAACTAGTCTTCTAAATATGTAAAAATGTTTTCAAAATATTTAAAAAATAATGGTTTTGATGAATTAACTCTGTTTCTCACATTCTAATTAGTTTCATTTGGTGTTGATGAAATTTTTTGGCTTAAAAGTTAAAAGAATTTAAAAGATGCGTATCTTGATCCAAATTGGCTGCCGTCGACGGTATTACTTAATATTGTACATATTGTTATTGTTATTATAATATTTTTAATATTTCCACCTCGAGGGACCTTTTAGGGAAAAATTACGCTACTTCTTGTTTACAAAAACAGCTATAAATCCATGAAAGTTTTTCGTATATTCTTAAGCCCCAGAAAGAAAGGCGCGAGGTTTGAACGGGGCCCACCATACCTTTGACAACTTAATCCTAATTTAATACCCAGATGGCAGGTTTTTACGAGCATGATACCGAAAGGGGTAATTGTTGTTAGTAGAATAATACCAACAAAAAAGATGGGTTAGGGGCACAGCCGTCTTAAAAAGTTAACCTTTCGCCGATACGGACGACCGATTCTTATGTTTTTCGGGTAGAAAAAACCGTATCTCCTTCCCCTCTGTACCATGGATTAGTGCTGGATTATGATATTATACAATACCACTGAAAATTCAATACACCAAACCGTATTTGCGAGCTTACATTTGCATAATTCACCGTGTCTTCGCTGGTTAAAGGGTTTTCTCTTATCTATGTGAGTACACGTGGGATTTGTGTGCTGGCCGTCCGTTCCCGTTGTCTTCTGCCGTGACAAGATGATTAAACAGTCGGGAAATGTTAATTCGATTCCGGAAAGTGTGCCTAAACTAAATGTGATAAGAAGACTTCTTAACGGTCGGGCCATATTCGGATGGATACGTTACACGTCTGATTCTACCCTCGTTACAATAAGATCACTTTAAGTGCAACCGTGTAATCATTATACTACAATGTCTTATCCGTAAACAGTCTTTCTAGAAGTACTTCATTAAAATTATCCATTGAAATAAAGTAAAGCATGTCCAATAAAAATATCCAACAGTACTTTTGACTACTTTTGTTACTATTAGGTTTTATTTCAACATCAGTAATATAGCATTAAATAGGACACTGTTCAAATATGTTTCAAGTTTATTTTTTACATGCACCAACTTCTGTTAGTTTCTACAATGGAAAATATTCTGTTCAGTACACAAAATGAAAAAAACCGTTTACTAATGCAAAGTAACCCTAATAAGTATGTAACATTTAATTGTGAAAGGGAAAAAAAGATGTACATTTGTAATCTTGTTTAACATTGAAAGCTAAATCGGGATTGACGTTTAAAATCTAGATTAAGATTATGATAACAACCCTTTTGAATCGTGCAACATATATTATGCAAGAGAATACCACAAACAATAGAAACCACCTTTTAGAGTGTGCAAACATATTTTTAAATCTGACAAAAGTTTATAAAAAATAAGCTTACCAGGTGCCTGCTGTAATTGCGTCATTCAAGAAAGCATATTTACAAAAATAATTAAAATGCCTTGGTGACGGAGAACAAAAGCCACAAGAAACAACTATTAAAACTGTTTACATTTCATTTTCTCATGAAGACAAAAATATAATAATTATCAGACGTGCATTATTTTTTTATATTATTTAAATAGGAAACACAAAGAAATATTTAAATATAATTTCTGATATAATCTATAAAATAAATTCGTATAGAATTTGACACTTCATAACCATATATTATTACTTTAGTTTATTATAAAAAATGTTGCAGGATCTTCTATAGGTTTAAAAAAAAGCGTCAGCACATTTACATTAAAGTGAATGTTTACACACAGATGAAAATATGACTTGAAGTATTCTATTCCGTGCGTTGTGTTTTTATTATTTTTACTTCAATCAGTAAAAAATCATTGAAAAGCAATGCGTTTTTTTTAATGCTAACACTACAATCCGAAATAGCATATCAGCCCAGTCCGTTCGTACGTTAATCCTTAACAAAAATACGGACCAAAAGCGAAATGTTTATCTTACATTTCTCTAAGGGTGAGGGTGGCTAGAACGAGCTCTACGGGTCATCGTGTGAACAACACATTTGTATTGTTGTTTAAACTTGGGTGAGGATATAAGCTACCTATATTATTATTGCTATCGTTGAAATGCCGACTGACCAAAAAACATATATGTGCTGAGTTTCGAAGCTGCACTTATCTACACTGCAGGATGGTCCAGTGAATCTTCTTATTTTACACAGTAAGAGCGAAATTCGTATTACTGTACCCCGTGTGTTGATTTACGATTTGAATATGAGTATGCATACATAATATAATTATTTTCAAGTGCCCAAAAGTACACTGACGACCATTCTCAAAACATTACAATAGAAAATCCTGAGGACTGACTAATATGTACAAAAGTGTTTTGGCCATTCGAATTTTCACCTTCTTTAAAAGTCATATTGTACGCACTATTGTTGTGCACAACAAGTAGCAAATGTTCTGTTTTAAGTCCACGCTTGAGCAACTTTCACAACAACATCCACCTCGTGATAATAAGAGTAGCGCACTTAATTAAACAGTGTGTTGATTATAACCGAGTGCATTGTAACGGATAAAGAATCGCTAGTACATTCACTATAAAAAAAACCCTTTTGTATATATATTTTTTTTTTTATTCTATTTTTTAGCTTTTGTGCAATGTAGCAACCCTTTTGACGTTTGAGGCTTAAAAAATTAGCTCGCACGGTATACTCTGTTTTCCTATGTGATTACCTAAGTATACTACACACACAAATCGCTAATAATGATTATCAGTACACACAAGCGGCCTGGGACTATTTGCTATATATTAAAACAATAATATGTGCATGGGAGCCTTTTGTGTTTTTGTAACATAGACATGAACAAACAAACGTGTTGTGAGTACTATTCGACTGGTATAGGTAAAACTTTGATGTCTTTCTATTTTTACGCCTATAGATCATATAGTTGATGTATTTCTCTAAATTAATATACATTGATTTAAAGAAATTAAATATATTTAATGTCTTTAAAAGCGACCAAGACGGTATGTTGTTAAATTGAATGATTTTTCACTGTTGTTTTCTGACAATAAAAAATGATAACAAGAAGGCAAGTTTAATGTGTTTTGTATTGCTGTACACGATACGAACTATTCTATATAACTATATTCCTATTCTACATTGTCCGTGTAGTATACGGTGTTAACTGTTAACTCTATAAAATAAATGGGTTGTTAACGCGGATATAGTCGAAGAGTGAAACGAACGGTGGTCGTGGTATGGACCATACTAATACTACGGATACCCGCAACCGTGTAGGGTTGTTTCTTTTGTATATATATATATATATGTGTGTGTGTATAAGTAAAAGGGTGCCTTTACATACAACACGGGGGTGTACGTTTAACAAAGAGGTGCCCCCGTAATCTCTGTATACAAATGCTGATGCTGTCCACCTGCACCTACGGTTATTAGATACTCTAAAATGTATATGAGCGGGGTCACGAGAATAATATACCGTACAATATCTCCTATGAACTGTGTGTGCATAATAGATGTTTTTTTTATATTTTTAGTAACTCACGAACGACTTTTGGTCGTTTCTCCTCTTGTTTGACTATGTGTATTATGTATCTTCCCTCGTAACTGTATGTATTATACAAAAGAGATTATTTTTATACAATTTTATTACTCTACCCCTATCTGATCAATCCATCGTAAAATACAGCATCTCCATCGTTCAACAGCATGACTATTTAAAACCCGTGATGGTCTTTATATTATCAACACAATGCAGTACTAAAGCCATTTTCACTCTAAACTATAAAAAGTAACTTTTTATAAAAAATTAAAATTCAGTATATATGTACAATTCAAATTCTATATTTATAAATGTCTATAAATTAAGATGGATTTGGTCAGAACCGTAGTGTGGTACATTTTTTTTTTTTTTTTGATGGGTGGGCTAAATTAATTTTTTCCACCTCCAAGTATAATTTTTATATAACAATGCATATAATTTTGCAAATTTTATGGGGATAGTTAAACCCCTCAGCCTCCCATTTTGCGCCTATGGATTTAGTTAACATAGTTTAAAATTTTAAATAAATTTAGTAGTATGCTTTCGCAGAACAATGATATAGCAATAAAATTCAGAGTGATTCTTTTAACACTAACCACTTGATTTCTCCAAAAATAATAATTATATTAAGAAAAATTGTTTCGGTATTTTTTAATTTCATATTTCAATTTTACCATTTATGAGTTATTAAATACATTTTTAATTTATCGCTTATACCTTATAAGAGTGTTAACTTTTTTACAATTAATAAATAAAAAATGATGAATCGATAATAACTTTTCCAGTACTTCGATAGTTATTAACAATTTTCTACATTAGCAGGAGGAGAGGCGGGACCCAGAAATGTCTAATGATAAGTATTGTTATACTCGTGCCTCTCCCCCTACATAATTTAAAATGACCATAATTCCTGAAGCACTGATTCAAAAGCTGTTATCGAGCCATCATTTTCTTCTTTAGATCATTTTTAATCATTTTTTTAAGTTAGTTAAATACGTATTTTTCCATTTAAAAATTAATGTTGACATCCTTATAAGGTATAAAGGATGAGATATAATAGTATTTCAAAAATGATAAACCGAGAAATATATGAAATTAAAAAAATGTTTTCTTAACGTAATTTTTATTTTAAATGAAATCGAGTGGCTATCGTTTAAATAACCACCTTATTTATAATAAATAGTATTTATAACCCGTTTTATTTTTTACAGTTTTATGTTATCTTTTGACGTTTATATGTATCAAACGCAGTGTAAATAAAAAAGGTTTTAGTAATTGAAATTAATCTGTTAAGTTCCAAACTAAATATCTGAAATCGCATTCGTTAAAACAAATGATTTAAAAGATCAATAGATTTTATTAACTAATGCGATTTTTCATTTATGTATAAAAATGTCAATTAAATAATTGCGATTTAAATTTATTGTATAAAATTGTACAATATGACATTTATTTTATTTTGTGTCGACTTGCCGTTGGATAAAATTGGTTCAAGGTTTTTTTTTATATTTTCAGGTCATATCAAAGATTTCTTTTGATCGCAACTTTTGTGGCTAGGGTCGTAGAAACAGGTGTTTGCCCATTGTCCGATGAAAATAACCCCTCGCAGCGTGCACTTGATATTTGCATCATTTTTCGGGGGTTTATGCGTATGCATTTATTTTTCCCCGTCGTCTCGACCTTTTTGCCATTGTAAGTTACATTTAAACTGACTAATACTCTACGTCGAGCGAGAGAGAGATAGAAAGAGCGCATAGAGTGTTTTTACCGATAATCCCTCTTTTAATACCGAACAGATGCGGTGACCTTAAAGTATTGGCAGGAGTAGTATGATATGTCCAAAAAAGGGATATGTTGACGTCGAGGGGTCTTGCATTTGGCCAAAATTGTTCACTCAATTGGTAATAATTATTGTTTGCAGACTAGTCCCTGGTTTGTTATTAAATTAATTCCTTTTTATTATATACATTATGACTGATCCTTTGTGCTTACTTTTGTAAAAAATAAAGTTTCTACCACTCGCCGTACACCTAAAAAAGAAAAAATTAATAAGTCTTTTCATTATTTTTAATAATATTAAATTATTTCAAATTCTTAAGGCTGGTAGTAAAAAAAAATAAGTTTCGCTTTTATTTTAACGCGCCCTCGTAAGAGAGTCGCAATTTCCTGCGCTTAAAAAAATAAACACAATATCAACAACTTTTGCTTTTGACAGTGTTTTTTCTTCAACTCTACAGTGCGTTCTCTTAAGCTCCCCGGGCAGTTTTCGTTCGAATAATATCACGTTTCAAACGAAGTGACCGGATTTCATTAAGTCCTTCTGTTTGCACGATGATTTGCGACCGACTCGAATACCACTTACAAGTATATTATTATCGTTTCTCCGCAACCCTTTGCATGTACCGTTCGGTACACAACACGGGAGTATATTACCGACCAGCGTCACACACTTTGAACCGTAGAGGGTTTTTATTTTCATTTTATGTTCACCCTTGCGGGATTTCCAATCCGTTTGGTGTTTTTTAACCGACGATTATTTCCGGCCGGATTTGACATCGATAATGGATATTATAAGCCAACATCACACGTCGGACACCAGTTACCGACCGCCGAGTCAAGACCGTTTTTTATGGTCGTTGCTAATTATTACGGTTCCGCCAGTGAACCGTGTGACGTGTTGACGTAGTGTAATGTGTCTCGGCCGATCATTATTAATACAAGTGAAAATTGATCTTCACACACAGGTATATTCGACAACGGTAAAAAGTAATATCACACACACACCAGAGACTTTTGTTTGTTATTCGAACCGCACATGACGTGTGTTTCAAGAGAAGGAAGACTACAATCGTGTGCGTATGGTTACTGCACGGTACATAATGCCGGAGGTAATTAAACAGACACAAACACTACCGGATACCTTCATAATTGGCGTGAATCACTGAAAATGTGTGTGTGTGTGTGTGTCTGTGAGAGAGACCCATTCGATATTATCTATACGATGATTACAAGTAAATATCAGTCGACACCCTATGCTGATCGAAATGCCTACTACCCGCGTTAAGCACACAAGCAACGTCAAACAAAACAAAATTGGATATGGTATACAGACTCTATAATTAAGGGTTGCAAAGTGTTTTAAATGATTGAAACACGCTATAATAAACATTTACACATTTTTGCATTAGTATACAGTAATTTAAAAGCATAGGTGGATTTAGATTCAAAACGATAGTTAAATGTACTCACTACACTCGCTGTCTTATTAATTATGTTCTGAATCAGACGAATAGGAAGATAACTGTGATTTTTATGAAATTTGCCTCCTTAAATTTAATGAAAAATTAATTTTCATTTTGATTTGCAACTTTTCTTTATAAAAAACAAACAAGAAAGTGTAAGAAGTATAACAAACTAATTTTAGTGGTATTTCTTATACAATTCATATATGATATATAACCAATGCATATAATTCTTTATTTCAACTTTAAATAAATTACAAGGAAAGTCAAATTACTAACCAAACACGATTTTTTTTTAACTAGCTTATTGGTTAACTATAAAAAAAAAGTAACTTTTATAAATTTATTTGCTTTTTTATAAATAAACAGACTACGACAGCACAAGTTTGTAAACATGCAAGTTCGTTGTACCTACCACATTATAATAATGTATTCATGTACATTTATTAAAATGGAATGTACATATGATTATAATTGAAAATCCGTATACTAGAAACAATAAATAACTAAAAACACACTGAAATTATATGTTATTTACTGTTGACTGAGTCAAGCAGTGTTTTAGGTCATTACACAATACAGAATTTTATGGTCCTCCAAAGCTAAATTTGTGTTTATTGTCTCTTCGATATTCACTTGTATAAAATATAAAATAAAAGACAAACTTAATCTAAGTACAATAACTTACTGTCCAGCTGTTACGTTTGTAAATTATTGTAATTAACTTTTTAAATTAATGGTTTAGTTAATAGAACGCACGTATAACTACTATAAGACAATAAATAAAATAATACGTTTCATGAGCATATGTGACATTTTTTAAACAAATGATTTGGTAATAATTAATTACACATAGTAATTGAATTAAAATATTACTAGTAAATACTACTTTACAAGAGATAAATAATTACACGGGTGTTTGACCTCTTCCCGTTTGTGGGTTATGACACGTACTAAAAGTGTGATTAGTATGACTGAAGAATATAATTAAATATTAACGAACATTAAAATTAAGACAATATTATTTACCATTTAAGCTTTAATACTCTGTGTTGAAAATGAAATATATTCTACGTATGTTTTTTTTTATAATAATAAGGTCTAGGTTAATAAATGAATTTACGGGGTTAGGCTCCACTTTAGTATTAAAGTATCCTCTCCACCACAAACAAATTTTACTAAACAATTTTCATTATCATTCGCATACGCAACACAAACGTTTTATGAAAATGATTTTGATCACTGTCAGATTTCATTATATTCTTGTTTCAAACCTAGTGCCAATATAACAAAGTTTTTTCATAACAATAGTTCCCTCATATTGTATTTTTTTCTGTAATAAAAGAGAATCTGATACCTAACATACAGTAAATTATTTCTGCTCCTCGAATTTAGTAATAAATTATTATTTTGAAGAAAAAAAAAAAGAGTCGGAGAAACGACAGATATTTTATTTTTAAAACACTTTAATTTATGCGATATGATATAGGGGAAAATAAAAATGACCGTAAAGTAGCTGTGCATTGGCTGCGACAAGAGGTGTTGATACGCTCGTCCCATTAATTTAATTTACTGGGCGTAGGGCTTTGGTTTTGCTGCTGCTAATGAAAGCTGAAATAAGAGTGGCCACCGTGGATTGTATAAATTAGTCAGTAGTCGCCTGATTAATTACACCACCGCAAATGAGAAACGTTATGGTTAAGACACTCAAGTGATAACGCGAATAACAGGAAAGATAACGAAAAAGTAAGGCTTCTTTCAGACATTATAAAATTACTGAAGTTAAAAAAACTATTTTATCAGAAATAAAAAGTATTTTTTTTTTAATTTAAAGGATAAGAATAATAATTATGTTCATCGGGCACAAAGAAAATTAATTAAAAAAGTAACTACAAAATCTGGGAAAAACTTTAATGTATTTTAAGGTGACATGTTAATTTAAGTAATTATATATTTAATATTTGTAAAATTAAATGTAACGTTTTTACATACTAATTCTTAGACTGATAAGATTTTATTTTAGTAATAAAGTAGTCTGAATAATATTTAAATTCATATGGTATGTAGTATAGTGCATTCACTGAAAATACTGTACTACTCACTATATACCATGTTAATACTATAGTATAATATGTAAATAATTATTAAAACTATTAAAAAATAATAAAATTAATTCAAATTAATTAAAATTAAACATTAAGCTTATTTTCAACTGTTTAGTGAATGTTAAATAGTATTTCGGTTGTCGTGTACTTATATATAAGATATGATATGTACATTGTTTTATATTACATTGAATAATTGAATTGCAGTGGATAACACTAATGTTTAAAATACGTACCTTCAGAGTCAAGTTTCATTGGAAACATATCTGATCAAGAAACCCTACTAATTATAGTTACTATCATCGATGGGGATAAAAATTGTCTCAGATCAATTGCCAGCCGCAGGGTGGGCACTGTGAAACAACGAGAGGACGATGAACTGCTCACTGGAAAAGTAAAACGTGCATCTGAAAGCTAAACCCCTACAGGCTCAGCCTATTTAACACCTGACTAAACAACTAATTATTGGAAAACTGCGATTGTCTGTGCATGAGTATATGAACAACAAACAAAACGAGAGAGTTAATTGATGAATAACGCATTGTGCATTTTTCTCCCGTCTTCTAAAGACACTCTTAGTAAGTTATAAAAAATAAAAAGTACAAAAAAATTAGTCAGCCTTGCATTCGTTTAAAACATTCACCCTTTTTCTCAGACAAACACTATGGAAAAATCTCATTAAAAGGGTGCAATGGAAATTAAATTTCGGTGGTAATTGGAAACCGCGAAAAGGCCCTAGAGACATTTATAAAATTCGCTTCGAATAAACTATGTGTTCGCGAGGAATGCAGAACTTTTACTATCAACCAGATAATTTAAAGTAGCATATGCTATTTTAATGAAATCAATTGGGGAAAAAGAATAAAATTGTTTGTAATGTGCACATATCCTTATTTTTAATGTATTTGGAACATAAGTTACTTGTAATTTTTTATTAGCTGAAATATTATTCAGCAATATTGAATTATTTAAAATCGAACATAAAATAAATTACCTCAAATGATTATGTAAGGCATACCATACTTCTTCAGCTTAGAAACAATAAAAATTCGACATGCATGCATTAAATCAGAAGAGTAGCGTTTTCAAAAGATCTTCTACGCTTGTAGAAGGGATCAATTACACTTTTATTCGTTTCTCTTAAAGCGTATTTCCATTATACGGCACGTGAAGACATACCATTGTGAAAAAATGAAAAAGTTTCACCTCATTCAATAGCGCAATATAGTATTACACAATTCACTCTGGTAATACAATACCATCGGTCTCTTGACAGGCATCCGAAATAGGAGGATTTCTGCCTTCGCTAGTTAAGCTCTTGACCCGGGATTTCGCCGAGAACTCGTAGACAACACCAAAAAAGGTGAAAAACATTAGAGCTGGGGTTATTTTTCATGTTATACATATGCAAGGATTTTTTCTTAAGTCTTGGTAAACGATCGATTTTGTAGATGTCGTACAGTTTACGGCTACAATGCTACCCACTCCGCTTAACTTGCATGTTTAGAAACCAAACCCTATTCAGATACAATACGCTTGTATTTCTCTTTGGTCTGGACTTTATCGAAGAAAATCTTTTGATACAAAACAAAGCGTCTTGCTGTTTGTAATAAACGAATATTATACTGATACGGATTGATTTCTTTTATTAAATTGGTGAAATTACAAAGCCTGACTGTAACGAATCTAAATATAAAAAAGTTCTATTATAGTAGTGATGTTTTATAACATTGAAAAATTAATAAGTACGCTCTTAATGCTTGCCATTATGATAATATTTTAGAACAATAACTAGTCGTTGTAGATAAATATTGTTAGTCTGTATGAATGAAAAACATAAATGTTCTATGAGGTTATTGTAAAAAGTCTACCTTCAGCTTTAGATTTGTTTTCTGCAATGAGTAGTCAGTTTTGAAACCGACAGTTCATTGCTAGTCGAATACTTAAATTAAAGCAACAAGAGCACTCGAACCTTTTTAGCGCAGTTAAGAGTTGGTGCAGAATAATAGAAATAGACTTCCGTTATTTACAATTATCATAGTTTTTAAATAATATAAATGCTAACAATTCGAAATGTTCATAGAATATTTATATCCCTTTTTAATCATTTAAAACGTGCAACACAAACGTTATTATAAGTCACTAATTAAACGACCTATATGGAAAAAAACGAGAAGGGATAGAACAACAGCAGACATCTTCGTATCGTTTGTAGAAAAACGAGTCCTTGAACCTGTCGGTCGAAAAGCGAACAAGTGATTTAAAAACGACAAAACTTCGCGACAGGTACCGCTCCTCACCTCTACAAAACGGTCGACGATGGCAACGGCCTACGACGCGTAGAAACCAATTTAAACCAGGTGTTCATATTTAATTTTTTTTTTTTTATATACACCTCGCCATGACCAGCAGCTATACAGTGGTACATACAATAGTCCCGATGTACAACAATAATCATAACAACAATAGTCGAACAGGCAAAAAACATCAACAATCGTGTGACACAGTGTGACGATCATTAAACAGCATATTAATTAACCGTTTCGTAGGTAACTATTTATTTATTATGACTAATATAATTTTTTTTACAATTATTTTATACTTATGGACTCTCCTATGTAATTTCCTGCCTTTTGATTTAAATCCCAGGTGCCCAGCATGTGTTCCGGTGGGGAAAAAAATGTTCGTGGGATAAAACCCTCTTCTCTACATTACTACATTGTTTCCAGGGGTAGGTAAAGGATATCAGTGGTCGACGACCTATCAATGCTGACCGTCAATACGGTTGATAAATATTTGCTCGATAATACTACGAGTCTTTACTGACGTATTATTATAGATATTAAAAACATAACACGAGGGTACAATTATAATTGTTCGGACGATCAGACTATGTCTACACCGTGTACATACTATCGAATGTACACAATAATTCCATTTCGATTAACCAGTTATATTTTACACGGTAGTCGGTAGTTTTTAAACGCCGGAGGTAATTAGTAGTAGTACTGACAATGTTATATTATTTATACAATGTAATGTTACACCATTGATGACCTACACGTTTATGCCACACATCGTCAAATTATAATGACCACTAGAAAATTATAAGTAAATTCAAT